AGTAATTCACGTGCTTCCTTATATGAATAGAATTATATAAAAAGAAATTGTTCTTATATGAAAAAAATTGTTTTTACATGAGGAAAATTATGTAGAAAGAAAATTTTCTTATATAAAATATTTCATATACATTTTCAGAAAACACAAATCTAAAGACATTAAAATATAATATTGTTTAAATTTTTATTTTCTATAAAAGAGATATTTTAAGATAGACCAAACGAAAATACCAAGTATAGCGTTATAATAGCTTTGCATATATCCATACTACATATAGTAATTATTGACTTCTTTTTATTAGTAACTATATAAAAAATTAGGATGAAATAAAAATAATAGTTATATAAAAACACAAAAAATACCGCGAACTCTAACGCATGAAAATAGAAACAAAACAAGTCAGTTATTGTTCCAATCCGTCAACAGGTTTTTGCATAATGTTAAGAAATCTAAAAATATCGGTTCTAATTTTATTTTTCATTATAATTTAAAGTGAAATAAGTAGTATTTAAACTTTTATAGACTAAATGATCATCATTTGTTACGAAAGTATCATTAAATAAGGAGTATTTTCTGCTATTGCTCCATGTTGTTACATGTTAGTTGATAACCTTTGTGCTAACCTAAAGAGGTATAATAGAATAACCACTGTAGGTGGCAATGTTACCCTTACTACGATTCGAACAGTTTTGTAAATTTTCATGCAGACACCTCGTAATTCAGGACGCAAAACACATAGAGCGAAATGGACAGGGAAAGATTAAAAGAAGACAATTGAAGCTGTACGTGATTGCTCTGTTAAAAAAGTCTGTTAATATTCCTATAACAATATTACGAAACAGGTTAAAAAACAATAATGAGAAAAAACCACTTCTGGGACAAAAAACATTATTTAGTTCTAAACAAGAAAAAGAAATTTTTTATCATTTCCTACTTTTATCAAAATTATTCTATAGAATTTCGATAACTAAAATTCGTCATCTTGTCGTTCAACTGGCTAAAGCTAATAGAATTTGACATAACTTTAATAAGACAACAAAGCAGATTTAGATTGGGCCTATGGATTTTTTAAGATCTTTTAATAAATTTTAGAAAGTTAAAAGCTACTAGTCTAAAGGATTTCAGGTTTCAACAAAGCCGAAGTAAAATTATTTTTCACTAACTTGGAAATAGTAATGACAAAGTTCAAATTAATCACATCAAGAATATATAACAAAACAGATCTGTCTATAAGCAAGGAAAAATCTTAAGACTTAAAGGCCACAAACAAATAGATGCGGTTACGAGCTGGAAAAGAGGAAAAAATGTGATAGTCATCTGAGCAATAAATGAGCTGAAAATTTTATTCTTCTAATGTTCATGTTTTCATACATGCAAATGATACCTCTGCTACAAAAAGGAAGTCCACATGATGCTATTTATTCTTGTTCTAAGAATGGCTGGGCGAATGAAGATCTCCTAGACTAGCTAAAACATTTCAACATTCAATATCCTATCCTACTGCTGAGAATCCCATTCTGTTGATCTTTAATAACTACTTCACAGCCACAAATCTTACAAAGTCTATAATTTCTGTAGGAAACATACATATTATTTCACTATCATAACACACTTCTCACAAACTCCAGCGCATACAAGTCTGACATACAATGTGCTCTTTGCAATGTGCTCTTCCTGTTCTTTATCTTTTTCTAATTAAAGATTTAAATTAGAAAGAGATAAAAAAAGAAACAGGAAGCAGAAAACACATTGTAGATAAAGCTTTAAATGTTTGTTTTTACAGGCTATTAAAAAATACATTTAATAGAGAATGTGAGTTGTGTCTAAAAATTCATAGTGATCAACAAAATAGGATAACGCATTATAAGTTGACAGAAATATTTAATCATACCTATATTCGGATAGCAACTCTCGAGAAAGAGAAAACAGGTTTTTAAACAACGGGGATTTATCCAATTAATTTCAATTAATTTAAAAAAGATGGTTTTGCTGCAATATATTCATGTATATAGAAGAAATAGTGATGATTCATAATATTAATCAGGAAAAGATAAATGTATCTACTAGTAATCAGTCATCTATTGAGAGAAGAAATTTCCTTGATCACTAATCATCAATATCAATAGTCGGACAAAATTCTGTCAGTCGTTTGAACACTTCCTTTTCAATTTTTGTGTCTAGATTTAATAAAGTAAGTGTACAAGAAATATCTCTTGTGCCAGCTTTGGTTAGGCCTAAACAATCGGGAGAAAAAAACATAAGAATCAGCGTTCAGAAATTATTAGGTTCTAATCAATGAAAGTTGTTTTCGAAGTAATAAAGAAGAAAAAAGGAAACAATCAAGTTTTACAGAAGAAAAAACCATCTCTCAAAACAACAAAAAGCAACAAACAAAAAACAACGAAAAATTTAAAAAAAACATACAAAAAGAACATTACATTTGAATTGTCATCAGATAAAAATAAAGATATTGATGAAAATAATTTTATCCGTGCTGATAAGAATTTATGTGTTATATGTAAAGACTTCGGAAAAAATAACGAAATGTGATATAGATATATGCTATATTCAAAATGAGCTTCATTCAGAATGCAGCGGAAAAGACTCTCGAAAATTATATTTACGATTATTGTTTGTATCTTAAAATATATACTCCAAGATCATTTTATTACACACATACACACACTATACATTCTAAACTATAAGATACTCTGTCATTTTTTATTATTATATTGTCACTATCGTAGAAAAACTTATGTACATTTTTTGTGAATTTAAGATATTTATATCACTACATAAAGAAGGCAGAATTAAATTCTGAATATAATAATATATTGAAGATATATTTATATCTTTAATTCACAAAAAATGCATTTAGAAAGTTTTTTCCACAGCAGTAACGACATGACGATATTATTCCATTAGAATGGCAGATTTATCTTAGTGCATAAAGTAATACTGTCAAATGTACAAAAATAAAAAATATTTATGGCATATTAATTTAAGTAAAACAATTACTTAATTTAAATAAAACTACTACAACTTTTATTTTTTAGATATAAAGGTATATTCACTAGCAATACATTATTTTTATTTTCTTTTGTTTCTACAATAAATTAGATGATATCTAAATCGATATTTCCTTAAGGCAATGCTATTACTCCATCTTCCCTTAATCATAAACTATTGTGGCTGGTATATCTATGTTTGTGTCGAAAAGGTCTTTCCGATTTGATTCTTTCGGATTTGACGATCTAAGCCAAGCCGCACATGAAAACATTATTACATAAATGATCTGTTTACATAACATACTGGATTTCAAAATTGGATAAATATGTTTTTATAAAATTAGAAATAAAATTAGAGGAGCAAAACGGTCATGATTGACATCTTTCACGAGCTTGCGCGATAATCATTACAGAAGTTAAAGTGACAATATGTGAGACATCTGACGTCAAAACTACCACGGAGCATCTTTATCTTAAATAAGTGTATAATGAATAATCAATATTTACATTGATACTGCCATTTCGACTCAAAACTGATTAACATACAAATTCATAAGCAGTTTGCAATTGTAACCATTTAATGCATTCTTAACTTCATCGAAAAAAATATGTTCAACTATTTCAAACTATTTCACTAAGCACGTGTTGCAATGATGCTATACCATTCACTAGATTGATAATCACTAGAAAATTTCAACCCGTGTCCGTTTCTAGCTGATCGTTTTTCATGACTCACCAATCAAGCGGTAATGTGTCAAAACAGAAGTGACATTTTGGCAGCTTGACGTTTCTTACATACATGTTTTTATCAGAAGGTTATCCGCTCACGTGTAACACGCAATCAGTAGAAGAAGAGTAAGAATGTTAAAAGTAAATAAAAAATGTTAAAAGTAAATAAAAAATATTTTTAAGTATTTCTTTACTTAAAATATTTTTTCTAATATAGTAAAGTAAAATGTTTATTAATATTGTGGAGCACTTATTAAATAACGAATAGTTTGAGAGAAAATAGCGTGAAAATATTAAAATAAAATATTAATACGAAAAGCTGTCAAAATGTCACTTCTATTTTGACACATTCCCGCTTGCCGAATGAATCAACAGTCATGAAAAACGATCAGCTAGAAACAAACACGGCTGGTGAGCCGTGAAACTTTCTAATGACTATCGATCTGGTGAGTGATATAGCATCAATGCAACTGACAAGGGACATGACGGAACTATCCCTCACCAATTTTTATGTGCTTTGAATACGTTGTAGAATATAAAAAAATAAGAGACACATATTTTTATATATTGACTTATCTCGAGGTTTAGGGGTTAAAATAGTCCTTTGAAAAAAATAAACTTTTTCATTTTTATGGAATAATTCCTAAAATATAAGGTATATGAAAAATGTTTCCTACAAAAGTTTTACAGTATTTAATAGTAATGCTCTCTGCAACAGTGTATTTCATTTTTTTTAGTGTTAAATTTTTTACGCCCCCCTTCCTCCATTTGTTGCCTTCGCAAATTTTTTAAATGTTTATAAGGACAAAAATTGTAGAGCATTTAATGCCAAAAATCCATCCATATATAATAGTAAAGTAAATGTTCACTTTAAGGGAGTCACCTTTGATGACCTTGATCTTGACATATATCATAGAGGTCATCCTCCTGAGTAACCTTCAGAAGGTTTTAGCCGTCGCTCATTGTTTGTTAAAAAGTTATTGATGAAAGAAGTTCGAAAAATATATTACAATTTTTCGATACTGTGTACTGTTAACGAGCAATATCGAATAATAACTGCAATATCG